TTTTAGCTGCGTGCCCGTCTCCAATGGGCTTCTTTTTTCTTGTGCCTGTTTCCTTTTTCTTTTGGAATAGATTGATTTCTTACCTGTTTCCTGTTCTATATTGCGGTGGTGGTACGCTTGGGGACCCATCCACTATTATTATTGGAATTTGATTTGGGATTTTTGATTCCTGTGACGGATCTCAGACCAAGTGCCTAAACTATAACTGACTTGGACCCCCTTCAGATCCTAGCTTCCCGATTCTTTTCCACCAAACGATTGCTGCATCCTCTTCCTGCACGCAGTGTTCGTTTAGGGCGGGTAGACTCGAATTTATTCCTTGCGCCACGGACCAATCGCCCGCTCGACGCTCTCATTCCTCTGTCGAGCTCGTTTTCCCTCGACTCTCATTGCTTGCCTGGCTGATTCTTGAACCTCTTCAATCGTCCTTATCTCTTCCTCCCCATCCGGCCTGTGATTCCTATCTTTCCTTTTTTTCCCCTTTCCTTTCTTGTTTGATCTTCCCCCCCCCTCCGTCTTATCGCCTACTATCGTGATCCCCCGCCCTTCCCAATAAAGAGTAGGGCGTGTGAACATGTCCGGGTTGACCCTGGGGCGAGGCCCTGGAGGCGTGCGACCGACTCAAACCGCAACTTTTACCACCCACCACCACCACCCGTCCGCCGAGGCTGACCGCTCCTCCAACAACTTCCCCCCTACCTCCTCGCAGTTGTCCGATGACTTTTCTTTCGGTTCCCCTCTGAGTCCCGCCGACTCCCAGGCCCATGAAGGCCTACTTCAGGACTCACTCTTCCCCGAATGGGGGTCCGGTGCCCCTCGACCTGGCATCGACAGTCCGCATGAGATGCAGAGGCAAGATCCGTTAGCGACTCAAATATGGAAGCTCTATTCTAGGACCAAGGCCCAGTTGCCCAACCAGGAGCGGATGGAAAACCTCACCTGGCGGATGATGGCAATGAGTTTGAAACGCAAGGAGCGGGAACGTGCTCAACAGTCCATGTAGGTGTTCTCCCCTGGCAGAGTAACGGATGGCCCCGCTCATCATTAATCTTTTCTCTGTGAAGGTTTCCTGCAAGACCCGGTAGCGCTGGCCCCAGTGGGATCGCTCAACTGCGCATTTCCGACCCGCCCGTTGCCACCGGTAACCCTCAGTCCGCCGACCTGACCGCCGATCCCATGAACCTCGACGATTTCATCGTGCCCTTCGAATCTCCTTCCGATCACCCCTCGCCCAGCGCCACCAAGATCACCGACTCCACGGCGGCGTCGGCGGCCATTCCCATCAAGTCCCGGAAAGATCAGCTGAGAGATTCTACTCCGGTGCCGGCCTCGTTCCACCACCCGGCTCAAGATCGGCGGAAGAACAGTGAATTCGGCTACGTCCCCCGTCGCGTGCGCAAGACGAGTATCGACGAGCGTCAATTTTTCTCGCTGCAGGTGCCGACCCGAAAGCGACCGGCCGAATCCTCCCCCCAAGTGCCTCCCGTTTCCAACTCCATGTTGGCCCACGATCCGGAGCTCGCTACCGGCGTGCCCGACTATGCCTTGGACACCCCGTCCTCGGCCTTTGGCTTCCATCAGGGCAACCACCATCAGATCAATCACCACAACCACACCTCCCCGGGGGCGCCGTTCGGCTTGGATACATTCGGTCTGGGAGATGATCCGATCTTGCCCTCTGCGGGTCCCTACCAATCGCAATTCACCTTCTCGCCTAGCGAGTCTCCGATGGCCTCCGGTCATCCGTTCGCGAACCTCTATTCGCACACCCCGGTAGCTTCATCCCTGAACTCGACGGATTTCTTCTCTCCACCGCCGTCGGGCTACCAGTCCACGGTATCCACGCCGCAGCCCGCCTACGACGGGGACCATTCCGTTTATTTCGATATACCGTCCGGCGACGCGCGGACGCAGCGCCGCATCCCAACCTATGTTTCGCATCGGTCCAACCTGTCCGCTTCGCTGCAGCCTCGGTATATGTTTAACCAGAACAACCATGAACAACCCAGTTCGTCGGCGGTGCATTCGCCGAGCTACCCCATTCCCCAGCCGCAACATGTAGACCCCACCCAGGTCTTGAACGCCACCAACTACTCGACCGGCAACTCCCATACCGGTGCCATGTTTACCTTTGGAGCCGACTCAGATAACGAGGATGACGATAGTCATCAGCTGTCAGAGCGGGCGGGTCTGGCGATGCCGACTGAATTTGGGGACGAGAACGACGGATTCTCGTCGGGCATGCAGTGGGATGGGCAGTTCCCGGGCTCCTTCCATTCGCTGCCGGGCTTTGGCCCTCAACATCGCAAGCATGTGACCATCGGGTCCACAGACATGATGGACACCCCCGAGGAGTGGAATCACGGCGGCAGTTTGGGTCGGACTCACGGGTCGGTGGCTTCGGTCAGTGAGGTGCGCAACCGAGAGCAGGACCCTCGTCGGCAGAAGATTGCCCGCACCACATCCACCCCCAATACGGCCCAGCTGTTGCGCCAAAGCATGAACTCTAATAACAATACGTCTCATACCTCTCCCAATACCCCGCCTGAGTCCGGCCTGAGCAGCGCCGTTCCGTCCCGCCCGGCCAGTCCCGGGGGCAGCAAGAACGGTGATCCGGGCAGCAACGGACCGACCACCTGCACGAACTGCTTTACTCAAACGACTCCGCTGTGGCGTCGGAACCCGGAAGGCCAGCCACTATGCAATGCCTGCGGTTTGTTCCTGAAACTGCACGGTGTCGTGCGTCCTCTGTCCCTGAAAACGGACGTCATCAAGAAGCGTAACCGCAGCAGTGCCAACAGCTTGGCGGTTGGGACCTCCCGTGCGTCAAAGAAGACGGCCCGCAAGAACTCGGTGCAGCAGGCATCCGCCGTCACGACTCCGACGTCGAGCCGCGCTCCGAACGGGACCTCCTCCGAATCCCCACCCGCCGGCTTTGGTGTTGCCGCGGGACGGTCGAATGGGGTGGTGCCCATTGCCGCCGCTCCTCCGAAGGCAGCTCCCTCCGCAGCAGCCTCCCCTGGCACGGGCCAGACTCGTAACCCAGTCCAGGCTGCCCCGAAACGTCAACGACGGCTGGAAAAGGCCTCCGAGATGGAAACGGACGAGGCGAATAAGTCTGCGGGAGGCCGATCCAAGGTGGTGCCTTTGGCGCCCGCCATGCCACCAGCGGCAGCCAATCCGGCGAACCATAGTATTGCCGGAGGTCAAGGGGCTAGTCAGGAATGGGAGTGGTTGACAATGAGTCTGTAACAGCAGCGTTTTACTTCTCTACTTCTCAACACTCGTTTCTTAATGTCTTTTTTTTTCTTTTTGAACCCCCCCCCTTTATTTTTCCCCGACCGTTGATGCTACGCCATGACCGATAGACATGATGAATACTGCAACCAATGGAATCTCGCTAGACGAGAGGTGTTAGATGACGTGGCCCCGCGATGCACTTAATGAGAGACAACGAGGTGCAATCCGATGGTTACGCTAGTTTAATGGTAACATGACGAGGGATATTTGTTTCTGTTATTTCGGGGTTTGATCTGTTCCAGTCTGCGATCTAACAGCGACCGAATCCTCTGCTGTGACGATACACAGCTTGTCTGGTGGTTCTGTTGTGGCTTTCTGTTTGTTTGGCTGATTTGATTTATGCTTGATACAATCGCGTCTGTCCGGACCCCGGCCTTTTGCTTTTCTTTTCAGTGCTGATTCTTCACTGTTACTGTTTTTTTCTTGTTCTTGGTTTTTATTTTGTTTGAGGCTTGGGGCCGGGCAGAAGTGCGCATCTCTGCTTTGTGTTTTCTGTCACCGTCCATAGACGCTGTATATACATGGTACAGCATGATTCTACTTATCCAGTCTGGGCCGTTGTATCCATTGTAAGTGTAGCCAGCTGTCGAAATGTGCACAACTTTATTATTACTATTATCCTGTCAAGTAGTCAGTGAGTAGTATCTGTATATTTCATAACCTGTGTAAGACACTAAGAATAATGCGTAGCGTCCCACCTCGTCAATTATCTAAGCGCTAGCTCGCAGGCTTTCAACAAGGGTGATAAAGGAGATACTACTCGTACTAGCCTCCTAATTTGACGTCATAGCATATAAACTTAAATAAAGATGTCCCACAATTGCTCAACACGAACAACCACCAACCCCACCCGAAACAACCAAGTACAAAATAAAACCACCAAACAATAAAAAAAATAAACAATGGTCATAATAATAATGGACAAAATCAATAAGATCACTAAACCTAATCTAGAACCCGCTTTAAGTAAACCAAGATCTTGTATTCGGGCCGAGCCCACCCACAGATTATATATTTAAGGTAGGGCTAGAGCGAATAGAGTCATTGATAAATAAATCTATAGATAAGTCTACTATATATATAAAACAAATACGGACACCTCCTCCCTACCTCACCTTCCGGTCTTTACTCTCTCTTTGTGCCGGACGCTGGTTCTTTAGCTGCTTCACCAAGCAAGTTAAAATGTAACTTACTGGATGAAAATAGCAGATATGGCTGTGGAAAAAATGGACCTACAGTATAGCTCTCCGCCTTTCCCGATAGATGGTGAGAGGAATTCCTTTTCCCATTTCCTTTCTCTTTACTCCTTTTGCTCCCTGATCTTCTGAAACCTCTGAAGATTGTGCATGGTGTTCATTTTGTTGTCCATTTGTTGCTTGACTTTTGAGTCATCTCCGTGTCAAGCATATCTGAGCATGGATGTCCTACATGGCAGGCATTTTGCAAAACCGGCTTTCATCTCAGAGATGACTTTGGTGACAATCAAGGTAAGGATAGGAAATAATACAACACTGCCGCCCAAGAAGCAGAAAGAAAGGAGTTCACATGACTATTGAAACTCTAAATCTATCCGTACTTCTCTCGAGAATAAGCAATTTGTGCAATGGGATCACTTGCTCTTCGCCGCAACCTCTTCTGTATGACAGACCAACTCGTTCGTCTGTAATGGGAGGCATAAACTATCACGTAGAAGCCCTTTTCGATGATAGAGTTCAGTGGTTAGCACATATCCGGAGATTCAACGCGACCTCACCACCGCCCGATCTACGTAATTACTATATCATGCCGAGCGAAGTTGCAACTCTTCAATTTCTAAACAAGGCAAAAGTCCCTTCTCGAAGATATTCGATTATCTTCTATGTACATGGGGAGACTCCTGTTGGAGCCAGATACACCCTTATGGGAAAACTCCAAGGAAAGTCACTGCGCTGGTCTCCAGCTTCTCCAGAGCAAAGGACGAAAGTTATGAAGCAGATGGGAGATATATATATTGAATTGGGATCACTCTCCTTCGATAACATAGGATCTCTGGACTGACCAGGGACTGATCACATTGAGCCTTTTGCACGATAACCACTGACACACTATATCAACTTGCAGATACTTCCTCTCGGGCCTTACAGTAATCCTAGGGACTATCTTCGCACCAGCATTGAAATCAATCTGGAGTTGATTATAAAATTTGAAGTGAAATAGAGGCATTCCTGAAGTCATGCTCTACCACAGCTTTGATGACGGACAATTCTACATGAGGCATGCACACGGCCAAGGAGATCACATTCTTATTGATGTTGACTATAAACATCACAGAATCGTCGACTGGGAATGGGCTTACACCGAACCAAAATCTGCAGCTTTTAAATCCAATATTATACTTCTTTCAGTTGCGGACTTTTGCAATGGAGCCAACTGCATTGGCGAGGAGGAATCAACATTTGCAACTAATTAATACCCATGGTCACTCCGATAGGTAGGGCTGTATGCCAAAACAGGTAAGTTCATACCTGAGGCATAAACCCGACAAAACTCATCATGATCACGTGGTGATATCAAAAATAATTGAAGATAGCAAATATCTCGCAGCTTCAATATTTCCTCCGCTCAATTGAGGCTCTATATCGAGGACAGTTGGTCCTCTACTGCGCATTGTTATATTGAAAGCAGAAGGATATACAGATAAATACAATTCCCTGAACTGACGACTGTATCTGTCCAACACTATCCACCATGGGGTCCAGCGCGAAGAAAAAGAAGGAAAAGCAGAAAGATTTCACGGTAAGCCACTCTTCTGACAAAATAAACAGACATAAACTAACAGAACACAGAGAGCCAAACTCAAGGTCGGAAAAGCCAAAGGCAAGCCTGAGAACTTCACCGACACCAGTTTCAAATCGAAAGGTTCGCCTTATCTCCACCACTACCCAGCGAGAAAAGAATCACCCAACTAACCAACCCTAGGAATCGTCCTGAACCAACAGTCCCTAACCTTAAGCGCCCCAACCTCGAACACACAATTCACACACCACATCTCCCTCCTCAGCTCCAAATCCGATTCTCAACGCCGCGACTCCCTCGCTCACCTAACAACCTCCATCAGCTCGCGACCCGTCAACTCTCCCCTCCCGCAACCCGTCAGCGTCATCCTGCCCACCCTTCTCCCCCTCATCCTCGACGCAAACACAGGTGTCCGCACCCAACTTCTCAAACTCTTCCGCTCCCTCCCGCAATCCGACATCCGAGACCACGTCCCCCAACTCCTCCCCTACCTCCGCGCCGGCATGACCCACCTCGCAGCCGACATCCGCGTCTCAGCCGTGGAAGTCCTCTCCTGGCTCATCGAAGTCGCAGGCACAGAAGTCGTCTCCAGCGCCGGTGGCTGGATCAAAACGCTCAATTGCTTCCTCTCCGTCCTGGGCTGGCACACGGAGGAATCGGCGAAGTGGTCTGCAAGCCGCGCCTCGTTCGGAAAAGCGGGGGCCAAGGGCCAGCCCATGATGAAAGTGTTGACTGTTCTGGCCGAGTTCTTGAATGCGGGTATTGGCGCGCCCGCTAATGAAGCGCAGGATGTGGATATGCTGGGTTCTGGGGGCGTGGCGGGGTGGGAGTTTCCCCTCTGTCAGACGGCTGTGCATATGGTTCCTGATACGGCTGCGCCGTATGCTTATTTGAATTTGTTCGGACAGCCCAGGGATGAAGAGGGCGAGATGTATGAGACTTGGGAAGATCGGTATCGGGTCTTTTCGAATCGGTTTTTGCCAGCTATCCAGCGGGGATTAGAGAACGCCAGGCAGGAGGGAGGTGAGATGGGGAGGGCTAGTTCTGGGGCGAGCAAGGTGTTGAGGGAGGCTGTTGCTTACGGGCAGGGAATTGCGGTGTGATTTGGAGGTCTGGATGGGTTTATCTGCGATATGCTACGTTCCTTCCATGGTTTCCCGACGACGGCCCTCTGAAAGACCTGCGACGTGCCATCTCTCATGCCGAAGTGGGATCCAGACCATCCAAGCAACTGCGGTTGCTGTTCCACCGTCAAGTGCATGAGATCAAGATCTCCAAGTCCATACCGTCAGCGCCCTTGGGCTGATAGCGACGACGTCGCTCAAACAGGAACACGATATAGTATCCTCCCACTACGGCATCTCATGAGGAACCAGTATTCATTACAACAAAATAGAGCGAGAGCAGCATGTGTGTACCAACATGATGAATATACCCATGAATAGAATAAATACAAGAGATACATCAAGAACACAGACACTAAGAGACCACCTTCTCCCTCACCTCCCCCTTCTCCTGATCCTCCGCACTCCCATCGCCCTCCTCTCTCTCCCTAGCATCATAAACCTCCTCCGGCATAACCGCCACCTCCACCAAGGCCTCCCTCGCCGGACACACCACCGACACAATCACATACACGAGACTAGTGGCCACAAACCCCAACAGCCAACCAAACTGATACGGATGGACACCCACCCCAACTCCAATTTCACTATTCACCGAGTTAATCAACCCGGGCAGATTCGGCGCCACACCCACCACAAACGCCAGCACAGCCCTCCAATTCACACCCCACCACCACCTCCCTCCATACCGATATGTCGGATTCTCAATCTGATACAACGCCAACGTATCATACTTCCTATCCTTCAACACCCAGAAATCAAACAACATAATCCCCGCAATCGGCCCCAGAAAGATCGCATAAGCAGACATGAAATTCAAAAAGTTGCCCGCCGAGACCAGAATCTTCCACGGAACCAGACACCACGACAGTAATCCGCAGATGATCTGCCCGCGCCGGAGATTGATATACCCCGGAGCGAGGGCCGTGAGGTCATTGGCCGCGGAGATCGAGTTCGCCGAGATATTCACGCCCAGAGACGCGAGGGCGAAGCTGAAGGCCCCGAAGAACCGACAGGCTCGACTGCTCCAGTGGCTGATGAGTACGATTGGGTCCCAGGGGATGGTGTCGCCGCCGTAACGGGCATAGCCGGCACTGGAGGCGACGATGCCGATGAAGGATAGGAAGGTGAATATCATGGGGAGCATGGGGATGTAGAGGAGTTGCCATTTTGCGGTGACGCGGGAGTAGCGGGAGAAGTCGGACTGAATTGTTTATGCTTGTGAGTTTATATATATATATGGGGATGGATCGTGGTGATACCGACCTGGTTGACGCTGAGTGTTGCATAGTTCCCCAGTACACTGGTCATATTAGCCAGAAACAGCCAGCTGTATTTCGACCCGGACACTGTCGCTTTCTGCTGCAGTAATCCTCCACCACTTTCGGCGACAAAAGCCCATATCAAGATTGCGATCCAGGCAATCGGCACCAGCACGGATTTCACCATAAACAACCACCGAAGTTTATTCGGATGAATACAGAGAAACGGGAACTGTACCAGCCAGAAGATCAAGTACGACACCATCCCATTCGTCGTGATACCCTCACTCTCCGGGATATCGTTTTCCAGCGTGAGGAAACTGGGCCAAATAGCGCCGATCATGGCGCGCACGGCATTCGCACCATTGACGTTCTGAATGGCAAACCAGAACAGCGCCAGGATGACCCGCGACACGATGGCGATGTACGAGCCCCAGAAGCCCCAGCTGGCGCGGGCGATGACGGGAAATGGAATGTGGTAGATGGCACCCACGGCACCATTTCCGGCGATGACGAATGAGATGATGAAGAAGGAGATGGCGATGATGATGAGGGCGTCGCGCCAGCCGAGGCCCACGGCCATCATGCTGCTGGCGAATTGCCAGGTGGCTGCGTTGAAGGCGTCGGAGATCCAGTATGCTGGTGGAATGTTAGTTGAGACTGGATTTTTGGGAGGGTTTCTGAGACATGCAGATGAAGCTTATGGGTCCCCATTGTCGGAGATGGCGGGGGACAGGGTCTAGGTCGAGGTTTGTCCATCGTGCATTTCCTTCTGCGAAGGCGGATCGGGATTGCTGGACGCGGAGATGAGGTCGGAGCTTCATTCCGGCAAGAATTGTCTGTCGACTCGTAGAAGAGTGTATGTTAAAGAGAATAGTAGAGTTAAATTCCACACCAAGCTGGATGATCAGCCGCAGCCACGAAAGATGCACGATGCAAGGGGGTGGGGTCAATTAGGGCTCGATGCAACCCCAGCTGGAAGCAGTAACGATATGCCAATAGTTCACTCTGGAAATATGTATAAATGGGTATAGGGGGCGTCAATCATACCCCATATATTCCAAGAGGGCAGCATGAGCTTGAATTAAATGACAGGAAAGGAATTCCGGGGGGGATCAGTATGCATGAGGAAATGGGATGTGCCCCGATAAGGAAATGAGGAGGTCATCAAGACTGATAAGTCTGCAGCATCATCCCGGCTCCCTTCATGTCTGTCATTGGTCGCTCTGGCCACGAGCCAAAAGTCTGATAAGCATCTGTTGATAACCCTAATTCTGGACATTGACGAGTAAACTTCATTGATAGTTGGAGTATATTATTTTCTTGGCATGGTCTCGAGTATTCTTGACACAGTCTATTCAGCCGGAAATGGGTCGATTCCGGAATGTCAAATTAGCTGCATTTGGAATAGATCGGCTGGTTTTAGTACAGTATATCACTTACCCAGTGAAGGTTTACTCTCATGACGTAGGACTTCAATTCCTTTCAAAGAGTAGTCTCAGAAAGTGAAAGCAAGATAGCCATCCGTTGATGAATGTTGACAGTCCAATCCTGGTGAATACTACCCTGCTAGAACGGTATATAAGAAGTCTACCTACCTACAAATGTTCAACTCCCCTGCCACACTCAAGTACTATTGCACAGTTGGTCGTTCGTGACCGCTCGACTGCCCTTCATAGATCTATTCTCCATCCGCTCTACTGGAATTGATAAACAACCAACATGATCTTCATAAGATGCTTTACTACCATAGCAAGCGGTAGCATGTCGTATTTAAGGGGTATTATGCCACCCTAGGCGAGCAATTAGCAACTTCGCATCCATGGCTTATACATACGGGCACGGGAGATTCATTGGCTACTCCTAACCTGGAAGTAGGGAGCTTACAGTTCACAGGCGATAAATGCAACATAGTTGGGGTTTACAGTTAACCATTGGCTCACAACTCTGCGCTCAACTTTACGTGTTGGCACATGTACCTGTCGTACGGTCTAGGGCTTCAAGTCCTGCCACATCTGGGTCAATGGCGAGACTCTTTACTACGGTAAAGGAAAGGGTATATGTCGCCGCAAGTCGACCAAAACAAACTAGGTGGCTGCTAGGCCATGCTTTAAACACACTATTCCTAACAGTATATTGATGGCCAGCGGACGTTGATGACAAACGCAATGTGAGAAAGACACAAGTGCCTATTACCAGTAGTCATCGATCTGAATAACGAACGGTGGATTACGGTCTCTGAAGGGTACTATGCATTAACGGCGGCAAGAAGGCGAAAGCCTCACCTCTGTTATATAATGTTTATCCCGGAAGTGCATATGATAGTAAGGTCGACGCAGGGGTGCTTGAAAATAATGGTCTCACGACTACTGACTCGCTCATGTGTCTGACCTACCTGTTATCCATGCCAAGCATGATATCTCTAGTTTAGTTGGGAGAAAGAAGCCGGAATGGATCTTGTCACTTAACCGATGAGAATTCTAAGGCTACAGAAGGAGGAGAAGAGCAAGCGGAAGAGATGGAGGATGCAATCGACTATGAAGTCAACATCAACAACTAAATATCTTACTCATAGGTAATAAAGACAAGGATGTCTTCCAGGCATTTTTACTCAGAGATACTTGCTGACTGGTATATATTAGTTTAGAGGTACCTGTGGAGACGGAACAGTACTTCCTCTCACAGAACATCGACTTTCAAATAGGACTCAGACCGTCGTGCGACCACATCTGATTATGATAAACCCCCAATATAGTGCATCTGCCAGCCCAGAAAGGACTCGCCTTAGGAGGCTGGCATCCATCCTATCAAGCTTCACCGACTCCGTTGCGGAGCACTAGTCATTGCATTCTACGGTGCTCAGAAGTGGGCAGTCGCCTTAGGGCTACTATTTTTTCATCGGCGAGCAACTGGCGAGACAGCATCTATACTTGATTAATCGTTATCCAGATGAGTCCTTTAAAGGTCACACTCTTGAGATAGGTCCGCCGTCGTGTGAGGGCTAGTCGCAAATCCCTATAGTTCCAGAACTTGACCAACCACCCAAGAGCCTTTTCAAAAACCCAGGTCTCCTGTCAATCCCACGCGACCAAAATGCCATGGGCATCAAGGTCGCACCTTGAATACTTTATTCTCCAGTATCTCCCGTGATAGAACCTTAGGTCAGATACTGAGGACTATAGCTTACATATCTCTCGAAAATCCTCAGTATTCTACATCCAATTACTGCAGTGCCAATCTAGCAGCTACAACAGTTCAACCTGTTCAAGGACCCGGCGGTTCAAGATGAATGCCCCAGGCCCCGGAATATGAATATGTCACGAACAGCAATCTTGCAATACCATCCATTCTCTCCTCATGTTACGGCCAGAGTTGGTTATTGGTAAATTTTGTCCAGACGCTATATAAGGACAATGCACGGGCCCTAGAAAAGCTACTTGTTGCTGTTCAAGGGGAAATATGCTCGGGTAGTCGTCGGCGAGGAGCATTTTGTCAGGGATATATCCATTGGCTTTCATCCGTGGCTGGAAGTAATGGAGGTAATATCCTGCTGGTTCCTGACAGTTACGCCGATTTGCTACTGGCAGTAAGTATGGGTAAGAAAGGGGAAAATAGTCGAAGAGGGAAATACCGTATAGAGTTGTCATTAACTGTTTCCTAGCATGGATGATCATGTTATTGGGAATAGAGGAATAAAATCACCGTTCTACAAGTTGATTTCAAACTTTGTGAAGTCATTGTAGTCTGGGACATAGTTGACAAGTTAAGCCTGTCGCATCACCATCCATATTTTAAGTATCTATACTTTCAGTCAGACCGGTCGTCAACTGGCCTTCTGTCTGAGTGACAAAAAGCTGACATATACGACATCAAATCCAGAATAAGAAAGACGGCGGCTCGCATTCCACTATGAATTATCTTAACTCCATATAGCCAGACGCCAAATCATAGTATATACAAATTCAACCCAGCAAACCTTCAGTCTCAAGAGGGAAGCTAGACCAATCCTCCCACCAGGTACCTTCCGCTTCCATCCCAACCGGCTTCGGCCAAACACTTCTAAAAGCCTCCTTACACGGTTCTACAAACCCCGGAAACTTCGACTGGAAATAAGTCTTCTCATAAGGACACGAAGCTACCTGTGTAGCCAACACTTCATCGCGACGATCATCGTGTGAATTCCGCTCGACCAGCCATGCGCAAGGGAAAATATGAGCCAAGTGACTGAACAAGGTACCCGTTTCAAACGCACTACACTGGAGTCGAATGCTCATTCGTTCCAGTTGTGATGAGCCGGTGGCCTTGTTTCCGGATATAGTTTTGAAGATCGAGCATGCGAGGCGAGAATCTATGGCGCTGTTCCTGAATAATCGTAGGACGTGTCCGTTGCGGCTTCGGTAGAAGCCCCCTAGGTCCTTGATAGAAAACGTATTACCGAATTTGTCGAATGATGGCTCGCTGGGCGGTTTGAAGTTTGTGTTCCGGACTGGGTTGAAATTGCGACGGATTTGTTGATCGATATCTGTTTCCACGTTATCTTGGCTTCCACTGAGGGATGAATCAGATACGTCCAGGTGTAAGTGTAGGTATTGTAGACGTGGTATGGTTCCTATAGCCCTATACAGGACAACTTCTCTGGCGTCGCCCTCTGAGCGGGGGATCATGATATCCAGGTTTTCCAGGAGTGGGCAATGTTTGCCCAGTTGGAGGATGTCGCGTTCAGTTAAACATTGCCAGGCCTGGGGACCTGAGAGGTCTAGCTTTCGCAAGCAACAGCCGTGTTGATTAACAAGCGGATCCAAAGACACCAGCGAGTGCCAACCCTCTAAGTACAATTCCTTCAATCCCGAGAGACTTGTTATAAAACGAGTTGTCGCCTCGTAGAACTCGGTGGTAGGTGCGTCCTCCTCGAGGAAAGCAGGGGCTTTGAGCTGTAAATACAAGGCTTTTAGCTTTGGGAACTTGAGCTGCTGGGACCAGACAATTAAGGCCGTCGGTTCGGCCAGTGAACACAGCTCAAGGGTTTCTAGCTCGGAGAAGTTGGTGTGCCTTCCCCAGTCAACGAGGGTCATAGCTGTTAACGGGACCTGGTCAATGATTCTCAAGAGTTTTAGCGATGCAGGGGGCAGGGAGGTATCTTCCTCTTCCGGCTTGGGCCTTTGTAGAGGACTAAGTATAGGAACACAGGTGAATTTCTTGGGAGCCTCGCGACGGGTGATTTGTAATTCCTTCAAGTTTGGGACTGACTTTACCAGACGTTGTATAGTCTTCATTTTGTAGCAAGGAGTGTTGTCATAACTACACACGGCTTTTTCATTGTACTGTAGCATAATACTATGCAGGCGTGGCGAGAATACCAACTTGTGCTCTTGGGAGTCTTCTGTAAGGGAATCCATACCCTGCAAGGAGAATGTCTGGAGATGTAACTTTGATCTGGGTGCCCAGCGATGCATGGCATCAAGAAGACAGACAGGAAACTGGCCGCCGCATCTGAAGAACAGATCTGTCAGAGCAGGCAGGTATCTAATCAACTCTGCCACGGGCTTCCATACATGGTTTCGTCTGTTGCCTATTTTGACGTCCCCATCGCGAGTATTCGGGCACAATGGTGTCTCCTGCAAAGCTGCAGCACACGTAGGCTCATATGGCTCATCCAGATCCATGCGTCTCAGTTCAGTAAGCTCAGGCGGATGCCAATTAAGATGCGCCTTGCAAGGGGCATCCACCTCGCAAGCGTTAGGGCTTTCTTCAATTATAAGCCGACGGGCATAGCGGAAACCTCTTGTCTGGTTAAGCTCTTCCACGATCTTCTCGGTTGGTTTTGTCAAGGCATAATGTCTGCATACCTTGATGACGATATCGCGGCAGATTATAGACCTGGCTGCTCTACTAGCGTGATTGTAGAATAATCTGCTAACTAGTTTGAGATTATGGAGGCTCGCGGGTTCGTCATTGGTTACAAGTATGAATATAAGTCTGACCAGCTCAGAGGGCAAGCGGCTGAAGGGTGGAAGATCCTCTAGATCCATTTTGCTGGTTTTGTGAAAGCATCTTGTGTGACAGTTAGAGCCCAGTCTACGTATATAACTAGGACAGTTCTGTCAAATTCCTCCTGAAGGAGGGGGAGGTCCTGATCGAGACGCATGTCTCCGGTCCGGCAAGATGAGATGAAAGGGTTCTTCAAACGGTAATTGATAACACTCAAAGGATCTACTTTCAACTTCGGAACAAAGGCAAGGTAATGCGTACTTCCTAAATAGGAGTATTTGAGACAAATATATAGTCTTACAGTGCGAATATCCAGTGAGACGCTGAATGGGATTGTTCTTGTTATCCTATTGAGACATTGTTAGACAGTTGTCTGCAACCCGACAATCCTTGTACATTCCAATAGATCTAGCAAGAATCTCCCATATATGTACTATTTGTCTTATATTGTGAGAAACCTTCTAAATACTCTTGCTCAGGACCCTTTGTGCACATTATCGCACCTACTCTCACATATCAGTTTCGCATATATGGATCGTCCCACTGATCTGGATGTGTCTTGACAGATCTAGCCTACTGACCTTTATTTATATAGCATCGAAAATGTTCAAATTAACCTTGCATGGAAACCGGCAACGGAGTTTCCCGAGGAAGCGTTTGACAAAGAGTTATGTGGAACAAAGAATAGGAATCGACACAGATGATCTCTTAGCGACAGCTCTCAATTACTTAACATCGTATCTAATACTTCATGCATTATCACTACCTATATTACATATGCCAGGATTTGCATTGGCATGAGACCTGAGTAAAGGGTAGCTAACCCCAAACACCGATCCCCCAGGCCGTGCGCAAGCAAAATAATATGCGTTACTCTTCACCCGATCTCGCGATGAATCTTGCCCCCCGCGCATGACCATCTATAGCAACCTCAGGCATCCCCAAAGCATCGGCGATACCAAAAGTCGCATGAACGCCATTCGGAGCTTCACGCAACTCGACCTCCGTGCCCTTCTCCTTCATATTATGTGCGAATTGCACAATATCATCGTAAAGCACCTCAGACGTGCCAGCTTCAATAAAAAGCGGAACACTCAATCGGTACTCGCTGCCCAGTGGCGATAAATAAGGATTACTATCAGACCAGCCAGGGGGGATATAGCTACTGACACCCCAAGAACCGAAGTTATATTCAATGTAATCGGACTTGTAATTGCGGTGTTTTTCCATATTCAAAAGAGCCTTCTGGGTCATATCAACCCACGGGGACCATAACAGTGCGCAGCGAGGTAGTGGTATCGCCTGGTTCTCTGTGGTGATATACCGGAGCATTGCTAGAATGAGATTCCCACCTGCTGACTCGCCCGAGAGCACGATCTGGGATGGTGGGATTTTGAGGGTCTCTAACGCGTAGATATAGGCGGTGATACCATCCTGGACGGCGGCTGGGAAGGTTTTGTCTGCATCTAAGGAGAGCCGGTATTGAATGGAAAGTATTGGCCATCCGGATAGCTCACTGAATTTCGTGGGTCCCCAGCCACATCCATCTCCGGGACGTGGGCCGAAGAGCACATAAGCACTTGGGTGGAAATGGATGATGAGCTTTCGCGGGGGCTGGACTGGGGGTGTCGGGTACCAGACAGCGCCAACCGGCATGGGCTGGACCGCTGGGACGGAGGTAAGCGTTCCTTTATAGACCGCTGATTCTATTTTCAGGTTGGGATCGGAAATGGTCGTTCGCGGATGGAGCACAATGAATCGATCTCCATCTCCGCCTGGCTCTAACAATTTGGGAGTGCGGTACCTGACTTCCGTCCGGTATCGGATCAATAAGATGACAAATTGCAAGGAGACGGCTGTCTTCCATGACCACGCAGGATTAGGACGGTTGGATTTGGGGATATAATACAGCCACCAGGTCACCAAACGTGCCGGGAGAGTGAGCAAAGTATATGCTGTGTACAGAGTAGAATGGACCGACGGCATCATCAACTCAGAATAATTGGAGTTGGTCAGGAGAAGAATAATAAAGATGCCAGGTTACAAGTGAATCATAATAGTCGTTGGGAGCTCGGCGGCTACATACACTACTTGCGTATATAAGGCTACTCCGCACCTGCGTTCACTCAGTCGTCCCTCGGCACTGAGTAGATTAGGGAATGATCGACGTTATTTCGGTGTGGCATTGTGCCAATGCACCTAGATAATAACTGCAGACAAAGAAAACCAGCATTGGACAAAAAGGTCCCCAACACCAAGGGCACCCGATGCAACCTCACGCAGCTACTTATGTGGTAGTGGCATGCACGCTAGTCATGCTTAGGGTGTGGGGGGGGGGGGGGGGGGGGGGGGGGGGGGGGGGGGGGGGGGGGGGCCATAAGGCGAAGCGGGAGATCCCCCCGTCAGATCATTTCTCAAGAACACCCGCTGGTCTTAGCCTATACAGCCTCCTGTGCCGTCTCCTGCATAGCCCCCATCTCCACCTGGGAGCAGTCGCTGTAAGATTTTACACTATGGCCGCTGTGGGAAGTTAGGTTCTTCGTCTTGCTATCTGATGACCCTCGGGATGTCCGTTGTAAGGTCGATCGAAATGAAAGGTACCATGCCTTCAGCCTAGGGATAAGGTGGCTGGTGTTTGAGAAAAGTGTACCATATGTAGGCAGACAGGCACAAACAATGGCGGAAGCCTGCTCAACCGCCGTCCAGTCCATGGATGCCGGCACACTCCCTGTCAACGATCTCGATTAATTTCTCATCGACTGGGGGGTGTATTTGGTGGGTGCGCAAACAGGAGGGGTACTTACGTGCCATTCCTGTAGCAGGATTCCAGATGTAGTGTGCCCGGACGCCGCAAGTGATGCAGACACTAATCAGGAGAAGATCAGCTCGTACGAACGAACACCTCCCAGAATGGATGCTATAAGATAGAATGAAACCCACAAGAGACCCAAGAGGAAGATAATGCTCAGACTGGCTCGCTTAATAGGGTGCAGCTGCAGTCGCTGGACCATGATGACAGGGGGAATTAAGATTGTTACATCAATCAAGACATTGGTAATTTCGAAACCGAAAATCATTTTTGGTGAGTTGAGACAGGTTGTCTGACCGGTCAGCTTCATTTCCATGCTCCATAGTCCGTGAACCGGCGAGCACTGAAAGATGACGACAAATAGTGCGATAATCCCCCAGCCGGTAACGGTACCCAGAAGGACCCAGTTGACTTGTCGGAATTTTCGCAGAGTGAAGATGTGACGATAGAAAAGTAAGATGGATAGCTTCACAGAGGTGATGGAGAGGACAAAGGTGATTTCATCGGCAAGAATATACTATCGAGCTTTTAGTGCGGTGACCTTGCCAGCAGGCAGGGTCAGATTGACTGACTTTGGAATACCGATCATACTGCGCAAGGCTATACTCATTCAGGTCGGCACCGCCTGTCCCTCCATTACCCATAATAGCTGCAGATCTTAGCCTAATCAGAACCACCATGAGCAAGGAGGAAAACCTTTACGGACCATAAAGATAAACCCCTTGATTTGAATAGAAAAAGGCCGCTGCTAGCAAAACGAAATACTCCTCACTCAAGAAGCGGTGATGTGTCTTTTGACGGGCCCATACACGAAAAATTAGGGCTATGAAAACCAAGCTCATCATGGAAGCCGACACACGAAGTGTCATGGCACCACTAGGCTGAAGGGCTACCTCGGCCATACTGCTCGCAAGTGGTATCGCTTGACAAGGTAGGCATTGGAAGAAAGCAAGAAGAATACTGCAATGTTGCAGTACTATAGCTCAAAGGACTTTGCAATTCGGGGCTGACTTATAGAAAGAGTGAGAGAAGCAAGATGTGCTGTCTTGTGAAACCTAACATCACAAATGCTGTACTACATTCCGAAGGTCGCTTTGGGACAAAAATAGTAGTAGTATAACGCTTATTAATGGCCTCCCATCTGCAAGCCCAGCATGCTGACATGGCCAGGACCACTAAAACCCCGCACTCAAAAAAGTCTTTTAGGGAAACATTTGGATGAGGGGAATAATCAGATGTGTTCTAAGCAAGTAGTTGGCCTTTGGAATCTGTCCCCAAAGAATGAAGCACGCTGAGAGGCTCCAGTGGAATGCCTCGCCTGAGAACTATGCATGTCAGCAATTAAAATCTTAGAATGCTTGTAATATCAGATGGTGCATATGGTATTTGCCATGCCGATCATAATGTAACGACTCACCTATAAATATCTGTCAACAGGTTAATTTTGACGACAGATATCCTATGTTCATAAATATGTAAGTACCGCCCTTGCTTTACAACTACCTCGGCGATATTATTCCTTTCAACGTTTGGAATCCCCAAGAACCTTTGAAAAGCTCCTGAGGCTACCGTGATACAAAGTATAATCCATTCGCTTATGACAAGGATACCAGGGAGTGCCAGATTAAGCAAGAGGGGTGCCATTTTACTACTACCACCACTACGGAACCAGGCGAAAAAGATGTGATGTTTGGATTCTATGTAGCATGGCAGCCGGTACTTGAGCCGTTATGGTGATTGATCTTATTTGTGAGTTAGAAGAACCCAGAGTCGCCGTCAGAATACCTCCTTGCGATGTTAGTGATTACAACACACAAGAGGAATCTTGGAAAGCTGCAAAGCAGAGATATTAGATCAGCGCGTTCATGGGATGGTCTTCACACCCACTTCTTCCGCAACCTCGGTGGACTGTCAGGATATACGCATCAGGATCCATAACATAAACGAACAGAGCAACAACAGCGGGCCAGCCTACCATGAAACACAGGTTGACTTTGCGGGAGCATTTGCAACAGTCCCATTCTCCCCGGCGGAGTTACTCAAGAAGAAAGCTAGCTTGGACATTGCGGATGCCAGCAGACATTGAGATGCACACAGCTCATTCATGTATACGGGGTGAATTCTCTCGTAGCGGTTGATTTACGATATTCAATGTTAACGGACATTCAATCATCGTATCTTGAGATTATGGCGGAAATAAGTATCAGCCAGTTTGAGGTGGCAGATCGCTGAGGAAAATGATTTGGTGTAGGTTCAATACAGTCATTGAATTGTAGCTTGATTGATACTCCTAGTAAATAGTAACTTAATGAGAAGATACTCAAACCTCTGATATTGATATTAGAACAGCAAGAAAGCAACAACATTCTATATACACAAGGGTAAAAAGCCAATCCCAAACATACTTCAATCCTCATTGAACAAGCCACCCTCATGTCGAACACCACACCATCAAACCAAAATCACCTATCACGCAATCCGCCGTACAATGATGAAACCCTAACTAACAACATATCTCCGCAATGTTTCTCCAACTAGCAAACTTATCTATCTAGACCTCCACACCAACCATATTTTCTCTCTTAGCAGCCTAGCAATTAGCATGTAAAATAGTAGTGACACAGAATCTAAGATATCACGCATCAAGCGGACCCAATGACGAATATTACCCCTGCATGATCAAGTAATTTCTACCGACAGTATCGGCTAGTTATCTAACGGTTACGTGATGTCAGTTCTTGATGGCGGGATATGCGGGGTCAATTTCAATTCTCGTTGTCAGTTCCTATGGTAGATATATAGATGAGTGTATTGGTAGCTAAAGAGATGGAATATACATAATCCTCAGAGGTGTCAATCTTTTTATTTCCGATATCAGCTAATCTACATATTAAAGGAAAAGAGAGAAACAAAATGGGCGACATGAGAACTCAATCAGACCACACTGGCGATGCCAATGGCACGACCCCAAAGAAACACATTTTGTTGAATGCATTCGACATGTCCACTGTAGGACATCTGTCTCCTGGACAATGGAAGGTATCTTCTATTCTCAACCGACCCCAAATTCAATCGATACAACGGAACGGTACTAAAGAAACCAGAACCCCGCCGACAAATCCGCTACAAAACGCTCCCTCACCTACTGGATCGAACTCGCCAAGTTACTCGAGCGCGGCGGCATCAACGCCCTCTTCCTCGCCGATACCTACGGTGGATATGATACCTACGAAGGCAGTTTGGACGAGTGTATTCGGCGTGCAGCGCAGTGGCCAGTCACAGATCCTACCATTGTACGTCCCGTCTTTCTCTAGTTATAGACTTACCGGATTTTTCTGGTTTAGATGGCAAGCGTCGGGGCTGATTAGTGTCATGAGGACAGCCTATATCGGCCATGGCGGCCGTAACGAAGAATCTCGCGTTCGGAATCACGGCGTCGACGTCGTTTGAGCCGCCTTTCTTACTGGCGAAGCGGTTTTCGACACTGGATCATTTGACAAACGGGCGTATTGGGTGGAATATCGTCACGTCGTGGAAGAAGGCGGCGTTTAAGGCGATTGGACTGGATACGCCGATTGAGCATGATGAGCGGTATCGGCAGGCGGATGAGTATCTGAGGGTTGTTTATAAGTAGGTTTCTCCTTCCATTTTTTCGTCTGCGCGGGAATTTGGTGTGAGGATAAGGGATCAAGAGGAATCAGAGGAAGAAAAAGGAAAGAAAAGAAAAGAAAAGAAAAGAAAAGAAAGAACGCTAAGAAGATAGACTCTGGGAAGGATCCTGGGCCTCCGATGCTCTATCCCCAAACCCGAAAACAGATACCTACGTCGACCCGGCCAAGGTCCGCCAGATCAACCACAAGGGGAAGTATTTCTCCCTGAACACGCGGCACATCGTCGATCCGTCACCGCAGCGCACACCCTTCCTGTTCCAGGCCGGGACATCGGCAGCGGGGTCAGCGTTCGCGGCGACGCATGCCGAGGCGATCTTCGTGTCCAGTCATTCGCCGGCGGTGCTACGGCCGAAGATCGATCATATTCGAAAGCTGGCGGCGGAGCAAGGGAGGGATCCGCGGTCGATTAAGTTCTTCGCGACGTTTACGCCGATCATCGGGCGCACGGATGACGAGGCGCAAGCAAAGTATAAGGAGCTGCAGAAGTACGCGTCCGTGGTCGGCGGGTTGGTGCTGTTTAGCGGGTGGACGGGCATCGATATTTCGCGGATACCGCTGGATCAAGATATCACGGCGGCAGATTCATTGGAGGCGCATAAGGTGACGAGTATGTTGGATGCCTTTACCACGACCAGCGAGGATGTGCCCCAGTGGACGCCGCGAGTGGTGGCTGAGAAGGCGGCGATTGGGGGCTTGGGACCAGTGGGCATTGGGAGTCCGCAGCGGGTGGCGGACGAGATGGAGCGGTGGATTCGGGAGGCAGATCTGGATGGGTTTAATCTGGGGTATGTGACCACGCCGGGGACATTTGAAGAGGTGGTGGACTTGTTGATCCCTGAGCTGCGGCGGCGGGGTTTGTATCCTGTTGCACCGGAGGCGGAGGTAGAGACAGAGGCAGCGGGGCTGACGGCACGAGAGAAGGTGTATGGCAAAGGCCAGCGAGAGTTGCGCGCGGATCATCCAGGCAGTCAGTACAAGTACGAGGTTTATCAAGAAGACGCAACTGTTGCTGAAACGGAAGTGTCATGATGCGCGGATATGGCGATAGAGTTGCAGTCAGACTCTTCTTTCCGAAAGCTTACGAGAAGTAATTATTTTTTATATTATTATTATTATTATTTTTTTTTTTTTTTTTTTTTTTTA